TCATTTTGGCATAAGTTTAGAACAAAAGTTTGCCTCATAATGGTAATGAAAAAGTAAAAACGAAGAAAATGTACATAGTTCACTCTGGCATGATACCATCCAATTTAGATATTATTGGAGGATAGAACCAAGTCTAAAAGACTGATATGAACATAGGCAGCAATTAATATAAGTAACTAAGAAATTAAAGTTGGAAAAACTACTTCCATAGAAAAATAACCGCTAACATTAAATTTACATGTGTGGCAAACCGAAAAATCCCACTTTGAATATGTCCGATAACAATTATCCTTTCGTGAATACTATGCTACGAAACAGATAACGGGCACAAGGAGAGCATTTGTACTGTACGCTTTTATTGAAAAGAACGTACATAAAACATTTTCACTGGTATTTTTAGAGTGAATCGAGAGACCTAAAAACTCCATTTCCATGTTTTTGTTGAATGCGGCACCGAAAAAATAGCACGGGATTTATCAATCCCAAACGAAAATTCTTAAATAAAGTTTATAAATATATTTAAATACATTACATATACCTACAACAACAAACAAAGAGAAATATAACAACCCTCATAACAAATTGTAAATTTCTCATTAGTATTTTTGGTCATCTCTAACAATTTGTCTTCTTCTTTGCCATCTCCTCTAAGAAGGTTGGCAACAATCATGGCAATTCGCACTTTCAATACCGCTGCTCTAAAGAGGTCAGCACAAGTGCAGTTAAACCAAGCTCTCAAATTGTTTAACCACGAGATGGGTCTTCTTCCATGACTCCTTCTACCCTCTATTCTTATTATACCCAACATATTCTTAATATCCTTCTACAAGTAGAGCCATAACTCGAAGGCTTCTAGTCTGTCCAAAACATCTTTTTTTAATGTCCAAGCCTCCAACCCATAAAATAATACGGAGAACACGTAGCATCTCAGAAGTCTCATATTTAAAGAAAATGAAATGTCCCTGCTGCAGAGTACTTTTTTCAGTTTGTTGAAAGAATTTCTTGCCTGTTCTATCTATTTATATAAGGATTTTTATAGCTGTCGCCGCCTTCCTTGTTTCAGCCAACGTCTCCAGTTCTTTCTGTTCTGCCGTTCTCCATCTCTAAGGCCTCGTCTTTCAATGGCCTCGTTCCTCTTTCAATGGCTTCATCCTTCAATGATCTTCGGGGCCTACCTCTTTTCTCCCTTCCTATTGGGCTCCAATCCGAAATCTTTGCCTGTCCTATTCTTGCCTTAATCTCTTCTGTGTACTCATTATTTTTATTAATTGTTGTACCCAGATATTTATATTTTTCAACTTTTTTAATTTGTTCTCCATGTATTGTTATGTTTTCTTGGCACTATTGGGCTTTTGTTATTACCATACATTGTGTCTTTTTTGTGTTTAGGGACAGTTCGTTTTCTTCACTGACTTCTACCACTCACTCTGTCAACCATTTGTTGTAAATCTTCAAGACATTCCGCTAATAAAATAGTGTCGTCGGCAATTTCATTTGAAAAGGCGTTGTTCTCTTTTACCACAGCGATCTGATTATAATAGATAGCGCTAATGATCCTGATGTCTCTCATATCTAAGTTTTTCTTTTCAAGTAATTCGATAAGACGGTTATGTTTGACCTTATAGAAGGCTTTGTTGTAATACATAAATAATTACTACATATATATATATATATATATATATATATATATATACTATCCATGCACCTTTGCACAAGTACATTCACAGTGAACAGGGCCCTTGTTTCCAGTGTATTCCTAAATCCAAATTGTGTGTTACTTATGTCCTGCTCAAATGTGTTGTGTATTCTCCAGTGTATAATGTTTAAAAATATTTTGAGCGTATGACGCTTTTGCATTTGTTTTTTTTTTTTGGTAGTGTGACGAATGTTGACATCAGCTAATCTCTGGGAATGATTCCTGTATTGTATATTGTATTAAATAAGTCGACCAATATTCCAATTTGCTGTTCTTCTAATAACCATATTATGTCTGCAGGTATTTCATCAGGACCTGTTGGCTTGTTGTTCTTTGTTCGCTTTATCGCCTCTAATACCTCATCTTCTGTTATGTCTGGGCCGTTCTCGAACTTTTCCTGTTCTACTACTATCTCAGTCCGTTAGTCTTTAAATAGCTCTTGAATATATTCCTGCTATCTTTTAAGCCTTTAAACCGACGTCTATAATTATTTTGCCGTTTTTGTCCAGCAGTATGTTTGATTTTTTCTTAATATTAGTGCCTGTTATTTCACTAATTTTTTTTTATGAAGATTTAAGTTATCATGTTTGTCTACCAACTGTTCAATCTCTTCGCATCTGTCACTATACCATCTTTCCTTTGCATCTCCAGGATCTCCAAAGACTATCAAGTTGGACTTCACCGGGGGGAAGATATAAAAATCAAATAGATTATATTCTTCGCAGCAAACGATGGAAAAGTTCAATAGTTAACGTAAAGATAAAACTTGCGGCTGATTGTTACGGAACAGACTAGAATTCCGTATCAAATTTCGTAAAAAAACCGAAACAAATAAAACAAATAATTATATACCTAAAGAGCCTGGAAAATACAAAGAAACACTAAGACATAGTAACACGGGAATATAGTTATTTTATTTTCGACAATATATTTTTTTATTAAAGTGAACGACAGGTCTAAAATTTTCCTTCTACATAAATGTTAAACAGGAGAAATATGTACAAAAGGTACGACAAAGTGGACACATTTCTTTTTAGAACGCTCATTCAAGTTTAAATACCGATTTGAATATGAGGGAATATTTTCACGTACTCAAAAATTGCGTTTTTCCTTTCGGCGAATTTCTTCACACTTCTTAATTTATATTTTCATTAAACCTTGGAAGGTTTTAATCCCCTCTCCAGGTGGATTAAAAGACCTTGCTTCATTCGAAAACCTTTGAGAATTAATCAATCGGACGTGACGTAAATAATTTATTAAGGAAATGTTTGTAGTCCTTAAATAACTGGCTTGTTTTATTGTATTAAGCAGTGTAAACCTTGGAAAGACGTAAAAATACATACATTAATTTTTTATCCCCTTCCAGACCAATCTACAAAAAAAAGTGAAAAACGCAGTCTAAATAAATGTATTTAAATATAGAGAATATTTCATATCATCAACATCATTCAAGATTTACGACGTCAGAACCCACAGCGTTGCCAAAACATCAGAATAGTTAATAAGTGAGGAATTTTTAAAATATCAACTATTTTAGAATAAAATAAACTAGTCAAAATCAGTTTTTAAAATGTATTAAAATGAGTAAAAAAGAACCCAAGGTTTAACAAACTTAATAAATCCAATGCTAATAATAATAATATAATTAAAGAATTGACTAATGTAATTAACCTTTTACCATCTGTTTTTGTGGTTCTGACACTCCTTTTCCGATCATTTTTCATAAACTACATATTGTTCCATTTTGGAAGATCCTTGTTTCATAAAAAACAAACAAACAAACAAATACAAAAATTTATCTGCGATATAATTTCTATAAATAAAGTTCTCTTTACTGCAATATTAGACAGTTCCATAACCCTACGCCTTGAGGAATCTATTTTCATCTGAAACCCAATTTGTTCTATAACCTCCATAATGATATAATGGAACCTCAGATTTTTAACCAAGTTGTCTCTTAATATTTTAAAGTTACAGGTTTTTCTACAAAGAAAGCACTATAATTTAGTTAACATTTCTTATGAATAATCATTTTGTCTACATTTGCTAATTTGTCAAAGTTCTTACTTGTTTTGTACATGTCGTAAATAACATCAAGCATACCACCTGTTTGCAATTATTATTCGGTTTTTTATTTCCTCAGATGTGTTATTATTGGGGTTAACCGATGCCCCTAGATATATGAACTCTCTGACTGCTTCGAAGTTTTGGTCATTGATGATTAAATTTGCATTAACATTTCCAGCTCTTGCGTTTGTGTTAGTTGCCATGAATTTTGTTTTATTTTTATTTATATGTAACTCCATTCATTCTGCTGCTGTTACTAGCTCGGTTAGGATTTCCGCAGTTCTCGCACTAGTTCTTGTGATAATGTTCACGTCGTCTGCATATACTAGAATTTGGACTGATCTATTAAATATTATTCCCTTGCTATCTAAATTAGCGTCTCGTACAACTTTTTCTAAGGCGACATTAAAAAGCTGACACGCCAGCGCATCTCCCTGCCTTAACCCCCTATGTATTTCAAATGGGGTTGACGAGTCGTTTTGAATTTTTACTGCTGATCTTCTGCATCTTCGCCATTGTCACTTTTATTAAACATATTAGTTTTTTTTGGAATTCCTAACTCATTTATAGCCTTGTAAAGACTTAGTCTTAAGACTGTCATATGCCGCTTTAAAATCGACAAAAATATGATACATATCTATGTTAAACTCTTGCGCTTTTTCGAGGATCTGTCGTAGTGTAAACATCTGGCTAATGGTTATTCGTCCACGCCTGAATTCTGCCTGATATCCTCCTAGAAACATGTCGGTATAAGGCTTTAATCTCTGGTGCAAAATGTTTGACAATATCTTGTATGCTATATTTAGGAGAGTTATTCCGCGGTAATTATTGCATTTCAGTTGGTTTTCCTTTTTGTGTAACGGGCAAATTAAACCTAAGCTCCATTCTTCAGGCATTTGCTCCTCAGACCAAATTCTACAAACAATTTCTCGCATCACCTTGGTGAGCTGCTCTCTACGGTGCTTAAATAACTCAAATATATTAAACCAAGTATAAATACTATTAATCGACGGCTATAGAATTTGAATATAAAAAGTGTACATACTTTGTTCGAAGTAGAAAATCTTCTTAAAGAATTATTTCAAACATAAAATAAAGTTTATTAGACTTTATAGATTTGGTAAAACATTTTTAAAACTTGCTTTCTGAACTGCAAACGCTTCAAGCTTACCTGTTGCCAAATACGCATTACAAAGTTTTTCCCCATTCTGAACAACCTGGTGCATGTATTCTCCAGGAGCCGGTCATTTAGCAGCTGTTTCCTACGCAGGCGACAGAGTGTACAGTCGCAGGCCCCACATCTACCTCTACGAAGATCCCTTGAAGAGTGACATCCAACTTTTGAGCTACTACATCAACAAATTCAAGCAGGAGAAAGCTATTACTGGAACCAGTGAGCCTGCTAAAGGTATATAATGTTTTTATTTCATAAATGTCTGTTAGATATGTTTTGGTTTTATTGCATGCTGTAAAATATTTTTCATCGATACCACCATTTTTAAAATATAGTTTATAGTCACACAATATACCTACAGGGTGTTCCGTGATTTTTTAACAGTCCATAGTTCAGTAAATAATAAACATTTTTATTTGGAAATTGGGAAATGAGAACTAGACGTACATTCTATCAACTGATGTATACTTGAGATCTGTGACGTCATTATGGGCGTTGTGACGTCATTTCAGTAAAAAATGGATCAGGAGGGTAAGGGTTGGGTCAGATGGAAGCGGTTTTTTTTTATCCCAAATTCAAGAGTGTACAGTTTCCGTCATATAAAACTGGTACACTTTTTTCCCAATGTAAACCTGTGTTCAGACTTGGTTCGTGAATCAATTCGTTGTTGCCATCACAGATAACGGAATTGCACTAAATCTAAATAAATGAAAAATGTTTAAAAATGTTTAAGGTTTTTATATAAGTATTATTATTATCATTAACAAAAAAAACATATCTAATAAATTTAATAACCAGAGAGAGGATTGAGTTAATGCCCAAAATGTTTAAAGGACCTTAAACGTAGGGTATTGGCACCGGGAACATTGGAATGCATCTACTGTAATTTTATAATGTGTCGCACAGCCCTTCTTTTAGCTGATTTGATATAATATTTTGTTGAACTGCCAACGTTGCCATAGAAATTAGAATGACATATGTGACAAGATTAACTTACACAACTTAAAAAATACGAGTTTTGGTTATAAGAGTTATACCAGTTTTTTATGATGCGAAGGGTACTACAATGAGGGTATTGGTTATGAACAATTCCTTTTAAAAAGTCCCATACAAAAAATCTAATGGTGATAGTACAGGCGATCTTGGAGACCATTATACGGATCCGTTAGTTCCAATCCATCTGTTTGGAAATGTGGCATTAATGCAATTGATTACAATACCGCTCTAATTTGGTGGTGCGCCATCTTGTAGTTATTTCATAACTCCTTTCCCGTGTAAAGAAATATTCGTCAGTAACAAAGGTCATTTATTAGAAAATTCAGATATTTTTGACCATTCAAATATTCTTAAAAAAAAAATAGGAACTATTAATGAGTAATTTACACCAAACATTAATTCGCCATCTAGTTTAAAAGCGAGTTTCTTATACCCAGTGCGGATTTTCAACCAAAATTCTAGTTAAAAAGTCATGAGTCTCTTGCATCTTCACTTGTATTATGGCGATAAAGGTTAGTCTTTGATCCACATTGGTGGTTCACAATTCATGCATTAAACACAGTTTAAATGGATAGTAATTGTGTTTCTTTTAATCATATGAACTTTAGTTGAAGACATTCCAGTTTCTGTAAAAATGGACCTTATGGACGATGTAAATTTATGTAAATGGCCAACTTAAAAACAACATTAGATATGCAGATGATACAGTGTTGCTGGCAGATAGTGCGCAGGGGTTCCCAAGTGTGATGGATAACGTTGTAGAAACATGTAACAAATAGGGCCTAAAACTAAATTACAAGAAGACAAAAATAATGATCATTAGTAAGAAAACCGGCATAAACGTCCAAATTACAATTAACGATACACCGTTAGAAAGAGTGGAAAAAATATGCTATTTGGGCTGCAATATTAATGATACTTGGGATCACAGCTACGAAATAAAAACTCGTATTGAGAAGGCCAGAAGCTCCTTCAACAGCCTTAGGAAGATTCTCTGAAACCTATCTTTAAGTATCAATATACGCGTAAGAATTCTTAGATGTTAAGTCTTTAGTGCCCTCCTCTGTAGAGTAGAAAGCTGGAACCTTACAGAAGATGCCATAAAACGATTGGAGACATTTGAAATGTGGTGCTACCGACATATGTCGAGGGTCTCATATATACACCACACAAGTGACATAAATATTCTCCAGAGGCTAAGAAGAGGCAAAGAAATTATTCTCTCTCTTCAATCCTGACACTCCAGGGGGAGTGTAGTGGTCGACGTGATGTCATGTATTGTCGGTCTTCATAGATCTCTGTCTCTGGTCATTTCTTTTAATTCATGCATAGGTCTTTGGCATATTCCTGTAATTTGATCTATCCATCTTGTTGGGGATCTTCCTCGTGATCTTCGGCCTTCTACATTTCCTTGTATTATGAGTCTTTCCATGTTTTCTGTGTTTGCTCTCATACCATGCCCAAAATATTTTAATTGTTGGAGATGGACTTTACTAGAGAGTCGTTGGTTAACTTTTAGCTCTCTTAAAATTGAAATATTTGTTCTACGGTCGGTCCAAGGAACTCGTAACATTTGTCTCCAACAGAACATTTCAGTGCTGTCTATCTTTCTTCTCTCCGATTGTCTCAGAGTCCAAGATTCACATCCGTAGGTCAGTATTGGGAATATTAAGTAGTTGATCAACCTCATCTTTATCGCTCTTGAAATTTGACAGTCCTTCCAGATTTTGGTCAATTTTGCTGTGGCAACTTTTGCTAGATCACATCTACGTTTAATTTCTTCTTGTAATGACCCTGTGTTTGTGATTAATGATCCCAGATATAAGTATGAGCTCACAACCTCGAACCGGTCAATTGTGGTTATGTGTGGATGATTGTTGTGTAGTCTATCCACTATCATGATCTTTGTCTTTGATATGTTTAATTGCAGACCAAATATTTGACTTTCGTTTTCGACCAGTCATATAAGTTCCATCAGCTCTGCTTCACTATTTGCAAGAAAGGCTGTGTCATCTGCGAAACGTAGGTTGTTTAGTTTATGACCATTTATTGAGATGCCCTTTTCCCATCCTTCAAGTGCTCTTCGCATAATATACTCCCCATATATGTTGAATAATTGTGGAGATAGTATACATTCTTGTCTGACACCCCGTTCTGGATGAAACTCGTTCGAAAGTGTGTCAAGTACTTTAACTGATCCAGTAGTGTATTCATATAGTTCAGTTATAAGCGTAATTAGATGTTGTGGTACGCCTACTTCTTTTAGTATTCGCCATAAGTGTCTCCACTTGACCCTGTCGAACGCTTTACGGTAATCTACAAAACAGATGTATAGTGGGATGTTGAATTCCCTAGATTACTCGATTATCTGTCTTATATTCAGCAGGTGTTCTCGAGTGCCTCTACCTTTGGTAAATCCAGTTTGCTCTTATGGAATTTCTCTTTAAAGGAATGTTTTCAGTCTCTCATTGATTATATGTAGCATTATCTTGCTGGCTTGGGATATAAGAGAGATAGTTCTATAATTGTCGCATTTATGGAAGCTGCCCTTTTTATGTATGGTCGTTATTGTAGATTTTGCCCAGTCTTCAGGCCATTGTTTGGAATGCCATATTTGGTTACAGAGTAGATGAAGTAACTTTACGCCGGTTTCTTCTGTGGCTTTAAGCATTTCTACTGTTATCATATCTGAACCTGGTGCTTTGTTATATTTGAGCTTGTTGATAGCCTGTCTTACTTCATTTTCGAGTATATCAGGTTCTTCTTCCACCTCGTCAGAGATTTGGCTAACAAGCTCTTGGCGTTGATCATCTTTATATAGTTCCCTGCCATACGATCTCCATGTCTCTGCTATGTCTTCTCTGTTTGTTCTCAGGGTTCCAGTATTATCTTCAATGGCCCAAGTTCTGGCTCTGAAGTCTCTTGTCAGGTAGCATATTTTTCTAAATAGATCTCTCGGCTGATTATTCTGACCATATTCTGACCATAAAGAAATTATTAACACCATAAAAAACAGAAAATTGGGTTACACCTTTAATTTTTTCTCTTTAATTTTTATATATTGTAATGAGGTCACAGCGTCCGTGATGATGTTACAGATCTCATGTATATTCTAATTGATAATATTGTAGGTCCAATTGATATTTTCATTCGTTACTTCGTGAATTGTAGGCTATTAAAACATCTTGGAACACCCTCTATCCAGTATTAAAAAAAAAATATAAGGGAAGGTCCTTTAAGTAAATTTAAAATAAAGCAAACAGTTTTACGTCAGTACCCTGAAAGGCCCTGACAGGATTTTATCTATAGTTTTCCAACAGATCTACATATTTTTTTACCTGGCAATCTTCTAAAGGGCCTTTTCCAGGTATATACATAGACAATATGTTCACCCAGTTATTGTGCACTTTTGCAGAATCTCTAAGGGGCTTTGTTCATTTTACAGAGATGCGAATCTTCGTGAGAACTGTTCAGTAAGAACACTTGTAATTACCCTGACTTTGGTTTAATAAAGCTCTAAGAGTATTTTTGCGTAGCAAGCGGAAAGTTATAATAATCTTTTTGCTTGCTTTTAGCCTATTTTAGAGATAGTTAGACATGGCGAAATGCTCGGGTTCGTCCGGAAAAATATTTTGCATAATCACTTTCATGAGATACCCCAAAATAAATATCAAGAGATCGCCAGGCAAAAAGTTTGCTTAAACAATTTTTTTACCAAATTTTAACAATCAATTTTTTTTTGAAATTTGTTCGATCATTCTGAATAAATTAGATCAAAATTATTCCGTAAACTTAATCGCTATCGAGTTGTAAAAACTGAACAAAAAAATGCAAAATGACAATTTTCAAGCTCAAAAACACAAATAAAAATATAATTTTTGAATTCCCTAAGGACTTAAAGTTCTAACCTTTTTCTATCAATATCCAGTAAGTGTTTTGGACTTATCTCTTTTCAAAACATTGTTTTTAAAATCGTTAATGAAGCGCTTATGATAGGACGTGGGCTGCGGCGTATTTAAGAGAGAGAAACAAGAAACAGTCGACCTTTTTATTTACAATTATCCAAAAAACCTAAAAGAAATTTGTCTGGCTCGAAAAAATTGGTTGTTACAATTTGTTAAAAGAAAATGTTTAAAACAATTTGAACAATTTTTCGCCTGGGCAACCTCTTGAACCTTACTGTGGAATATCTCATGAAAGTGATTATGCAAAAAATCACATCAGAATATTTTTCCGAG